ATTGGGCTGTGAACCACAAGGTCAGCAGTTCGAAACTACCAACTGTTCCGTGGGAGAAAGATGAGGCTTTCTGCTCCCGTAAAGATTTACAGTCTCGGAAACCCTGTATAGTGTTGCTATGAGTCGGAACGACTCCACGGCACATAACAACAAGAACAATGTTACCCAAGAAGATACAGCAATTGTGGCCATATAGGCAACCTACAATCACACCCTATAAAATCCCACCATGTAGGCAAGAGCCAGCTGCTGTCCACCAGATAGACAGGTAACACTTGCTACAGTTACTCTGAGTTGAGTAATAAGAAACGTGAAAAGGGAAGTGCATCTCCTGATCACATCTACCTGGGGGCAATTAGAAAGCTTAATAATATATCAACATACATTCATCTAATTATTGAAAACACATCAAATTATTGAAGATGCAAAGAGACAGTTGAAGATTTTGGCACATGTCTAGAAATAAGATAGAGTAACTGAAACAAATGAGCTGAAACCATATAACCCTGAAAGAAAAAAATCTACCAACCAAGAATTGTCTACCCAGCAAAGCTGTCAATCAAATACAATGGTGTAATCAAAACATTTTAGGATAAACAGAAGTTAAGGGACTTTGTCAAAGCCAATAATACTGCTTCAAAACATCTTGAAGGGAGTTCTTTGGGCTGAGAACCAACAAGAACAGACAATAACTAGAGATTTATATACATGGCAATACCACTTGGAACTCATTCGACAGATGGAAGGGTCTAGAACAGAACATAACTATAAGAATGAATTCACAGGATCTGGGAGGTTAGTATATGTTCAAAATAATTACAGTGTGAAAGAAAGTGAAAATATAGGAACAGAGATCCAGGTGATGAAGAGGTCAGGTAGATTGCAGGGTAAAAGAGACTTTTAAAAAGTTTATAGTATAACCTCAAAGAAAATTAATACTTCTAACATAACAAGAAAATAAAAATCCAAGCAGAATATATGGAAACTTTAAAAATATGAAGCTTAAGAAAAGATACCCATACTAAAAGAAATAAAAAAAATTTTCTTTGTTGGCTACCAGGGATGGGAGGGAAGGGACAGTAGAGCACATCATAGTTTGGGTGTTGGGGGGGCAAACACAGGAAGGGGAAGAGGGATGGAAGAATAAGGTAGTGGAACACTGAGGCAGGTTTGCATGGGCTAAATGAGACAGAGGTAAATATTGATGCATGCTCAAACTTGGAACAACAGGGCTCTGTGATACAGGGATCGAGGCATAGTCTGAATGTGTAAGAGATAGGAAATAATGTTAAGATGCTTGACTGTCTTATGAATGTTGGTTTTCCCTTGTGTACTTATTGTAAAATAGACACTTGAGTGGATAGAAAAGAATATCAGGAAACATGATTACAGAAAACTTGTAAGTCCGTCTTCAGTTTATAACTGATTGGAATACCTAAAAGGGGTTCTAGAACTTGCCCAGTGAAATAGGCTTCTTGTGGATCATTTGTAGTGTATAGGACTTTAGGTGGAATCCTGAGCCCCATCCAGAACCTTCTAAGGTGGGACAATCCCACTTGAAAGGACATGCAGAACAGCCTGGAATGGCTACAGGAACAGAAGATACTTTTTGAAAGAAAGAGCAGCAGGAAAAATTGAAAACAAAAATGGTAGTCTGATTGGCTACTACAAGAACAAGCAAGTTGTTTGCCTGGGAGCCATCAAAGCAAGTAATCAAGTCCCTTCAGGACAAACCCCCCTCCAAGACTGAAACTCAAATGGAGTAAACGAGCAAGCATGTAAGCTTGCTAGTGACCACGTTGGTCTACTGGTGAGTGGAAGAGGGAGAAAGACAGCAATGAAGATATGGGCTGAGTTTGACCACATTCCTTAGACTCCCGTTGACCTGAAGATGAGAGAGAGAAGAGGAAGGGCTTCTTGGTCCGAAGTGTGGTAAGACTTGAAAACTCCTAAACACATGGACAAGGACCTAGCCACAGAGGTTAGAGCCGAGAGGAAGCATTCAGCTGATATGAAGTGAGGGGAGACACACAAAAATGCTCAAACTTGTAGATAGTATGCATTCGACCTAGGTTGAATGGCTTTATGATCATAACTCAAATAGAGGAAAATAAAGAAATTTGATAAAGGGAAACAAGTGTAAATTTCTACAATTTGATGAACCTAACCTATACTTATGGATGTAGTAGCTCAAAATACCAACTGCGAGGAAAGTAGCCTTCACATCAAGAATTAAACCTATACTCTCTGTATACAGAATGATGGGCATTCTAGACATTAGCTACCTAAAGTGGGAGTGGGGTCTATAAAACACGAAGTAGCTGGCTTACAAGTTTTCAAGAAGAAGTTTAGTTTGAGTGCGGGGCCAGGTAGAATCCCCACTGAATAGTTTTCATCTTGTCTACATGGGTCTGATGAAAGGAGATGGAGATAATATTCTTATGATTCAATAGTGAGTAATTGGTATTATGACTAATTGCAATGGTCACAACTGTAAAGGTACAGGTTTCATAACATAAAGTAGGAGTAGTTAATCTTACACCTTAGGAACAGAGGACCCTAAGACCATCAAGGGAAAAGAGCATTAGCAGAATGTGGGACCCTATCCAGAGAAACAGGATACCAGAGATGGAGGCAAAGATGATGACAGGGAGAAATAGAACAGCGGAGTACTCTAGATTCATGGAAAGAGAAAAGCTATGTGCTGGTGTCCAGGAGGCAGGCTTGCAGAATGTGCCCTTTGATTGTTTAAATGATTGTATATTTCTGAGTTTTTCTGTGTATGTCAAAAAAACCCCACAAAAAAACAGAGGGAATAGAAGCAAATACTGTTGAATGGTGATGCATGGAGGGGATTGTAATCATTGCTTTGATATGAAATAAGAAAAGATGAATGCCAAACTGATGTTCTCCCATGTAAACGATTATTCAATTCACAATAAAAATGAAAAAAAAAGACTGGAAAAAAAATAACTTACAATAATTTCATAGTTGTTGTTAGGTGCCATTGAGTCAGTACCGACTCATAGCGACCTTATGCACAACAGAACAAAATACTGCCCAATCTTGGGCCAACCTTACTCTTGTTGCCAAGCTTGAGCCCATTGATGCTGCCAAACCATCTCACTGGGGTCTTCCTCTTTTTCTCTGACCCGCCACCTTACCAAATATGGTATCCTTCTCCAGCGAATGGTCGCTTCTGACAATATGTCTGAAGTATGAGAGACGAAGTTTGGCCATCCTAGCCTTATAATTGACACTACTGTGAAATTAAATTATTGTTTGATTTATCAGAATAATTCTTTATAAAAGAAAACTAAAATTGTTTGGATGATGTATTACTGCTTAGAAAATATTTTAAGTTAGTGTCAAACATTTCTTAGAGTTGAATTTTTTTTCTGTGACTCTTTTGTTTATTTATAGGAAGACTGTAGCTATGAACTGGAAATGAAATCTTATTTGCAAATGGAAGATGTTACCTCAACATTTAGTGTTCCCAGGAATGAATATAATCCTCTTGTTGGTGGTACCTTCACTAATAACAAGAAATCTTCAATTACAAAAGCTATAAGTCAGGACCGTTCATCCTTAATGACCAAGTATGATGAAGAATGTGATGAATATGAATATGATGAAGAACCTCAGATAAAATCCACTAAATCGCTTTCTCCGAAGAAAAAAACTTCCAAAGAAATGATAAAAGATCAGTCTAAAAAAAATAATGATGTTATGGATTCTTTATATACCAAAAGAAATTTTGCTAAAAACAGTTTTCAGGCAGATATACCAAGTGATAAAATGGCATCAGATATAGATGCAGTTGCTGCCACATATACTACCAATGAAAATGTTGTTAATCAGCCACGTGTGTTATTAACAGAGTGTCAGTTTGCAAATAAATCTAGTTTGTTTGCTGGAAATTTTTCAGATTCTGGTTATAACAGTTTCAGTGATGAAAAATCTGTTTCAACTAGCTTGTTTCTTCCATATGAAGACGAGCTTTATTTTGCTAAAACAGATGATCAGTTTTATAACTGTCACTTATTGACAAAAGAGGTACTAGCTAATACAGAGCAATTTTTATCTCATTCTCCTCCACCTCTTAGTGGACTCTCACATTTAGAATATGAAATCACAAAGGGTTCTATACTTCAAAATTCGCCTTTCCTACCCGACACAGAGCATTTACAAAATGATAAATCCACCGGTTTGATGTCAGCTTCAGTTTTGAATCCTCAGCAGAATTTAGAATCTAATTCACAAATGATTCCATCTATTATTAATCACCTTCCTGAAATAAATTGTCTTCATAGTGCATGTAATGATAAAATTTGTAACGAATCAAGCGGCTGTGACTATGACAATGAAGTACATAAAGATATTCAAGATGAAAATAATCACGTTCAGATACACTTAGGCTCTTCATGGTTTTTAGCTAAAGAAAAGAATCATGATATTGAAAACAATGGCCTTCCAATACTGTCCACTGATGAGAATGAAAGCTTACTATTGTTTGAGGATACCAATACAGAATTTAATGATGTGAGTCTTTCTTCCTTTAACAGTAAATGCAAACCTTCATGTGAGTCAGAGAAAACTACTGCAAGTGAAACGGCACCCATCTCTCGCTTCTTAATTTCGGATGAACTTTTGTTAGACGAATGTGAATCTCAAGATCACATTATCTGTGATAATAATAATGGCAAAATCCATGATTTGAAAGATGTACATGAGGAAAAACTGAAGAACAATGAATATGCTTTTGACTTCTCTAAGGATTTATTCTCTATTACTTTTGATTTAGGATTTTGTAGTCAAGATTCTGATGATGAAGTATTAGAACATTCATCAGATAAAAATAAACTTCTAAATCAATCTGGAAGTTATTTAGAGTCCAAGAATATAAGTGGTGCAAATAATGTTTCAAAACAAGCATTAATACCAAGAGATCATATTGAAAGTTTCAGAAATAAAACCGTTACTATTCCATTAAGTGAAGATATGCAGAGCCCAGATTTTGCACTTTTTCCATTGGGTACAGCAAAAAGTAAAGAAATTATATCTCCTGGTTATTGTAATTTTTCTTTGCCAGTAGGAGACAAAGCTATGAGCACACCACTTCCTAAATCAAATACATTGAACTCATTTTCTAAGATTCGAGAGGATATGCCTAAGACACCAAATTCTAATAAAGGCAAAGTAAAACTACAAAGTTTCAAAAAAAACTTTAATTCAGTCTTTGATTCAAGGCTGTCTCCTATAAATGTGAGAAGTAGCAAACATACCCGTCTGCGTCCATCCTGTCATTCTGTTGAAGGTAAGAGTCCATCCTTACAAAACACATGAGTGTTTCTAGAATAATTACTCAGAAAAACTTGTAATTTTACAAAGTGTAACTTTTCAGTATATGTTGTTGTTATGTGCCATTGAGTTGGTTCCTACTCATACTAACCCTGAGTAGGGTTTCTAAGGAGTGACTGGTGGGTATGAACCACCAACTTTGCAGTTAGCAGTCTAGTGCTTATCCTACAGGAACATACCAGTGCAGTATATATTAATTGCATTAGATGATTGATATACAAGGGGACTTCAGAAAGTTCATGGGAAAATTCCATTTTAATTTCATTTTCTGTGAACTTTTTGAAGCTGTCTCATGTTTTCCTTAAGTTGATGTTTTCTAATGTAAGATTTATTTTATCTACATGTTTATTGTGGTCTCTTGGTATGGCACTGTAGGATCAGCACTGCACTGTGAACCAGCAGGTCTGCAGTTCAAACCCATTAGGTTCTCCTTGGAAACTCTATATAGGGTCACTGTGAGTCAGAACTGACTCGACAGCACTTAACAACAACAACAGGTATATTGTATTCATGCGATGGGAAAAGTGTTGTGTTAGAGACTGAAATATAAGAGAGGTATAAGATTTGGTCTTGATTGTAAAACAAACTGGTGTGTGTGTTTTTGGTTTACATGAGGGGACTTCATTCCATTTTTTTGTGAACTCTTTGAAGCCCCCCTCTCGTGTATGTTCAGTGAAATCTGTGAAAACAAGACTCAACAGGACTGTTGTTTTTCTAAATTTCTCAAGTTTTCTGCCTTGACAAGTTGCCATCTTAAGACTTTTCTTTTACTTGTTTTAGTGGAAATTATTGTGTTTTCCTTCTTTGAGAGGCTTCTGACTTAACATGGGTTCTGGTTTTTGCAGATTTTACTGTATATGCATATATATACAACCAATTATTGTCGAGTTGATTCTGACCTAATTTGAAACTATCAGACAACACTGTTAATCTTTATGGAAGCAGATTGTCCCATCTTCCTCCCACAGAGCAACTGGTGGATTGGAACTGCTGAAGTGTTGGTTGATCACTTAGCAATTAACTGTACTAGTGCTCCTCTCGTGTATGTATGTGTGTATAGTACTAAATGGTGGTGGTTATGTGCCGTGGAGCCGGTTCCGACTCATAGCAACCCTGTATAGGGTTCCCAAGGCTGTAAATCTTTATGAGAGCAGAAAGCCTCATGTTTCTCCTGTGGAGCAGCTGGTAGTTTCAAACTGCTGACCTTGAGGTAGCAGCTCAACTCTTTACAAGTATAAAGACCCCTTAATAGCTAATTTTCTCATAATTATTTTAAAAAACAAAAACAAATACATTGTTGTTAATTCTAGGCGATCCTGTGTTTTAAAGAACTGCTTCATAGAGTTTTCTGGCCTGTAATCTTTATAGAATTCTGCAGATAGTCAGGTGTTGCTTTCATTGTGATGCTGGGTGGGTTCAAACCACCAACCTTTAGGTTAGGAGTCAAGTGCAAACTATTGTTATGTGCCATTTAGTGATTCCGACTCATAGAGACCCTGTTCTGGTTTCTGAGGAGCGGCTGATGAGTTAGAACTGCCAATCTTGCAGTTCAAACCGACCTTAACTTAGGTCGAGTGCTTATCCTGTGGTAGCACACTAGGAGTCACCACCCAAACCAAACCAAATAACCCAACTTGTTACCATTAAGTTGAACCTGATGCATACCAACCCTGAATAAGGTTTCTGAGGCTGTCAGTTTTTACAAGAGTGGAAAGCCTCATCTTTGTCCCTCAGATCAGCTGGTGATTAGAACTGCAACTGCAGAATAATGCACTGGTGGACCACAAGGTTGGTTTCTGTAGTGGGGAATTTGAGAGTTGCTTAACTGAGCGGTGTTGCTTCAAGGTATTTTATAAGGTTGAAGTCAAGATGTTGGTCAGTTCTGCAGTCATTTGAAGACTTGCATAGATCTGGAGAATGTGCTTCTAAAATGATTCCCAGGAGGCTTCAGATTCTTGTCATGTGGGCCTCTTCATAGAACTTGATGTATTCCTAAATAGCATAGCAGCTGGTTTCCCTTAGAGCGTGTAGTCCAAGAGAGAGAGCAACATGAGGGCAGAGTACCTTTTCTGATCCAGCCACTGAATTAACACACCATTCCTTTGATTATGTTCTGTTAAAAGCAAATCCCACTTTACAGTCAAAGAGAGGAATTAAGCTCCACGTCTTAAGGGGCGAAGTATAGAATTTGTGACCATGTCTTAAAACCACAGCAGGACTCTTAAAAGAGACTTGTAAAATTTATTTGTCTTTAATTAAAAATTTTTATGAAAATGCAAAAAGAGCTTTGGCTAAGAACCCAAAAATTTGATATTTATTTATTTATTTAATGTTTTATTGTGAATTATATGGTAGCTTACATGGGGGAACTTTAATTTTACATTCATTCCATCGTATATCATCTCATTGCCATGGCTCCAGTCCCCTCCATGCATCATCAACCACCCAAAGGGTATATCCCAGAAACCCGCCCCCTACACTTCCTTTTCCTCCCCCCAGTTTTCGGCCCATAGTCCCTTTCCCTCTCAGGGTCCAAAGACCCCAATCGCTTCATCACTTTGTGTCATCATCTCTGTCTCCATCTCAGACATTT